CAGCTGTGGTTAAAAACACCTTGGTTTTACAGATAAGGGAATCAAGGCACAGCTGGGCTCAGGGACTTGGCGAACCTCAGACAGCAAATTGTTGAGGGCTTGACCCAGTGTATCCGGGGCTCTTTGCTTGTTGGTTCTTTGGTGCTGCATCCCCATGTCCCAGGCTTGGGTGTTTTTCAGAATAAGAGGCTTGCAGGAAAATTTGCCGGGCATGGTGGCGTGTGCCTGTAATTCCAGCTACTCGGGAGGCGGAGGCAGGAAAATTGCTTGAACCCAGGAGGTGGAGGTTGCAGTGAGCTGAGAATGCGCCGTTGTGCTCCAGCCTGAGCAACAAGAGAGAAACTCCTTCTCAAAAAAAAAAAAAAAGAGGCTTGCAGGCTGGGGTTTGTCTCATGGCAGCCTCCTCTGCCCTGGCTTCTCTGCCTGTCTCTGCCTTCAGCTCTTTTCACTGGCTGTCTCTCTGGCCCTCCCTGCCACTCTCTTCCTCAGTCTCTCTTTCACCGTCTCTCCTCTCCCCTCTCCCTTTCTCCCTTTGTCCTTACCTCCTTTCCCTTCCTCTTTGAAGCTCTTTCTCTGTCTCTGGGTTTTGCTCAGTGTCTCTCTTTCTGTCTTCCTCTGTCTTCATCCATCAACCTGCTGCTGCTGCTTCTCCTTTTTTTTTTTTTTTTTTTTTTTTTGGTCAGAGGATGGAGTCTCCCTTTGTCACCCAGGCTAGAGTGCAGTGGCGTTACCTCAGCTCACAGCAACCTCCACCTCCCAGATTCAAGCCATTCTCCTGCCTCAGCCTCCCAAGTAGCTGAGACCATAGGCACATGCCATGACGCCCAGCTAACTCTTGTATTTTTTAGTAGAAATGGGGTTTCACCAGGTTGGCCAGGCTAGTCTCAAACTCCTGACCTCAGCCTCTGAAAGTGCTGGGATTATAGACATGAGCCGTAGTGCCCAGACTGGATCAACCTGCTTCTCTGGCTCTCTTTCTACACACTACTTATTTCAGGGCAGGAATGTGTATCACAATCATCGGAGGGCCTTTAAAAATACAGCCACCAGGCCAGGCACAGTGGTTCATGCCTGTAACCTCAGCACTTTGGGAGGCCAAAGTGGGAGGATCACTTGAGCCCAGGAGTTCAAGACCAGCCTGGGTAATATAGCAAGACCCCAAATCTACAAAAAAAAAAAAAATTAATTAGCCAGGTATGGTGGCATGTGCCTATAGTCCCAGCTACTCAGGAAACTAAGGAAGAAAGATCACTTGAGCTCAGGAGATTGAGGCTGCAGTGAGCTGTGATCATACCACTGCACTCCAGCCAGAGCGAGACCCCATTTTTTTTTGACAGAGTCTCGATTGTTGCCCAGGCTGGAATGCAGTGATGCGATCTCAGCTCAACGGCAACCTCCACCTCCCGGGTTCAAGCAATCCTCCTGCCTCAGCCTCCTGAGTAGCTGGGATTACAGGCATGCACCAGCATGCCCAGCTAATTTGTTGGATCTTTTTGTAGAGATAGGATTTTGCCATGTTGCTCAGGCTGGTTTTGAACCCCTAGGCTCAAGTGATCCTCCCACCTCTGCCTCCCAAAGGCATAAGCCACCACACCTGGCCAATTCAGCATTTAAAAGGGGGAAAATTCTGTCATTTTCAACAACATAGATGAAACTAGAGGACATTCCACTGGTGAAATGCCACATAATCTCTTTTCTATATGGAATCTTAAGAAGTTTAACTCATAGAAGTAGGGACTAGAATGATAATTACCAGAGGCTGGGGGATATTGATCAAAGGATGCAAATTTTCAGTTAAGAAGAATAAGCTGAGGCCGGGTGTGGTGGCTTATGCCTGTAATCCCAGCACTTTGGGAGGCCGAGGCAGGCGGATCACCAGGTCAGGAATTCGAGACTATCTTGGCCAATATGGTGAAACCCCATCTCTACTAAAAATACAAAAATTAGCTGGGTGTGGTGGCACACACCTGTAGTCCCAGCTACTTGGGAGGCTGAGGCAGGAGAATCGCCTGAACCTGGGAGGTGGAGGTTGCAGTGAGCTGACATCATGCCACTACACTCCAGCCTGGATGACAGAGTAAGACTCTGTCTCAAATTAAAAAAAAGAAGAAGAATAAGCTTTAGTGACCTATGGCACAGAATAATGACTATAATAAATAATGATGCATTGTATGTTTCCAAATTGATTTTTTTTTAAGTAGATTTTTTTTAGATGGAGTCTCTTTCTGTCACCCAGACTGGGGCGCAGTGGCACCATTTCAGCTCATTGCAACCTCCACCTCCTGGATTCAAGCAATTCTCAAGCCTCACCCACTCTTTAATGCCCCAGAGAGCCCGATAACACAGACACTATTATCCTGATTTTAGAGAAGAGGAAGTTACGGTTCAGAGAGCATAGTGACGTGGCCAACATCAAGCAGCTGGTAAATTTTTTTACATTCACTTTTCCTTGATTAAACATTTATGGAGCTCCTACCACTATGCTAGCTGTGGACTTCAAGATATATATATGTATATATATATATATATATATGTATAGGCCAGGTGTGGTGGTTCACGCCTGTAATTCCAGCACTTTGGGAGGCTGAGGTGGTTGGATCACGAAGTCAGAAGTTTGAGACCAGCCTGGGCAATATGGTGAAACCCCATCTTTACTAAAAGTACAAAAATTACCAAGGCGTTGTGGCATGTGCCTGTAATCCCAGCTACTCAGGAGACTGAGGCAGGAGAATCACTTGAACCCAGGAGGCAGAGGTTGCAGTGAGTCGACATCATGCCATTTCAATCCAGTCTGGGCGACAGAACAAGACTCCGTCTCAGAAAAAAAAAGCCAGGTGTGGTGGCTCATACCAGTAATCTCAGCACTTTGGGAGGTTGAGGCACATGGCTGATCACCTGAGGTCAGGCGTTTGAGACCAGCCTGACCAGTGTGATGAAACCCCGTCTCTACTAAAAATAAAAAAATTAGCTGGGCGTGGTGGCATGTGCCTGTAATTCCAGCTACTCAGGAGGCTGAGGCAGAAGAATCACTTGAACCCAGGAGGCAGAGGTTGCAGTGAGCCAAGATCGCACAATTGCACTACAGCCTGGGCAGCAAGAGTGAAACTCAGTCAAAAAACAAACAAACAAACAAAAAACATTTAACATGAGCCGTACTCGCTTAACAAAGGTTTAAGTTAAATGTGAGACACGTTGTTGACCAAAGGTGCAGCAAGTCTCTAAAATGTGTTCCTCTGGCTTAATTTTAGCATTTGAAAGATTTTCAAGATTTGTTCAAGCTAGTAATTCTAAATAACATTCTAGAACTATGAAATTCTAGAAATGGGAAAAATTTCTTCTGGATTCCATTCTTCTGTTCATACAAACAAAATTCATGACAATATTAGATTTATTCATTCCTAGCTTATTCATCAATCCTCAGGCATACAGAAATAACAGAAAGACATTACAAACTGGCTGGGCGCAGAGGCTGACGCTTGTAATCCCAGCACTTTGGAAGGCCAAGGCAGAAGGATTGCTTGAGTCCAGGAGTTTGAGAAACTAGTCTGGGAAACATAGCAAGACACTGCCTCTACAAAAAATAAAATTTAAAAATTAGCCAGGATGGTGATGTGCGCCTGTGGTCCCAGCTACTCAGGAAACTGAGGCAGGAGGCTTGGTGAGCACAGGAGTTTGAGGCTGCAGTGAGCTATGGATCGTGCCACTGCACTCCAGCCTGAGCGATACAGCAAGATTCTGTCTTTATTGACGGAGTCTCTCATTCGGTCACCCAGGCTGGAGTGCAATGGCGCAATCTCGGCTCACTGCAACCTCTGCCTCCCGGGTTCAAGCAGTTCTTCTGCCTCAGCCTCCCAAGTAGCTGAGATTACAGGCATGTCCCATCAAACCCAGCTAATTCTTTTGTATTTTTTTAGTAGAGACGGGGTTTCACCATGTTGGCCAAGCTGGTTTCAAACTCCTGACCTCAAACGATCCGCCCGCCTCAGCCTCCAAAAGTGCTGGGATTACTGGCTGAGCCATTGCGCCTGGCCTCCAGATTCTGTCTTTAAAAGAGAAAGAAATAAAAAATTGACCGCAAATGGGCTGATAAACTCAATTCCTCTATTTTATTCAGTTGCTAAGGGATTTTTGGATCTCGTATGGCTAATAAAGGGAAACTGACTGAAGAAATACTTGCAGAATGGGACACCGATGACATGCAATGCAATCGTGATTACACGAAACAAAGATGCTAAGGGAAGGACGGGTGGCTCCGCAAATGTGATGTCTTCGCACATTTGGTCTTCATAAAGCATCAGTAATAACGGCAAAAATACAGTGTGCCAAAGACCACCCACTATGTTGTAGAATATAGTCGACATTATGTTTAAACAAGAAGGAAAGAGGTGCCGGGCGCGGTGGCTCACACCTGTAATCCCAGCACTTTGGGAGGCCGAGGTGGGCGGATCATCCGAGGTCAGGAGTTCGAGACCAGCCTGGCCAACATAGCGAAACCCTGTCTTTACCAAAAATGCAAAAATTAGCCAGGCATGGTGGCGCATGCCTGTAATCCCATTTGCTCGGGAGGCTGAGGCAGGAGAATCGCTTGAACATGGAAGATGGAGGTTACAGTGAACCGGGGTCACACCGTTGCCCTCCAGCCTAGGTAAAAAGAACAAAACTCTGTCTCAAAAAAAAAAAAAAAAAAAAAAAAAGTAACTAAGAACACACTGTGTTTCGGAATCCATGATTAATCTGACCTTTCATAGGTGGAAATGTAGGTGTCCATAGATGCTGCGCCGAGTCTTCCTCAGAACTTCAAAGCCACTTACAGCCCACCAGGTTAATCACCAAGAACAGTGGCCCACACGGAAGGTTTGTGGAGCAGAAACAAAGGTGCTTGTATTGGGGAAGCAAAGCTGCTTCTCCAGGAAGCCTTCCTGGGCCTCTCCAGGGGATTCTTGAGCCCTGGCTGACAAAGACCAAAAAGGTCTGAGATTCCGGTAAAACTGCGGCTACTCATGGGATTCCGGATGCTTCTCTTCCTGGAAATGACATGAAATTCCTCAGCCTGCATCTTCCCTGTCTGTTATTTTAAGTATTTCTTTTTCTACATTACTTCCTGTGCAAGGTAGATAGCTTCACTTTGGAGTGGAGTGAGAGCAAGGAAGGAGGGAGAAGGTGGAGATGACAGATGAGAGAAGAGGAGGAGGAGGGGGAAGAGGGGAAGGAGGAGGAGGGAGAGGAGGAGAGGAAGGAGGAGGAAAAGGGAAGAGGAGGAAGAGGGAAGAGGAAGAGGGAAATGAGGGGGAGGAGGGGGAGGGGAGGGGAAGAAGGAAAAGGAAGAGGGGAAGGAGGAAGAAGGAGGGGCACAAAGGGGAAGAAGGGGAGGGGGAGGGGAGGAGGAGGAGGAAAGGAAGGAGGAGGAAGAGAAGGGAAAGAGGAGGGAGGAGGAAGAGGAGAAGGAAGGGAAGGAGGAGGGAGATGAAAAAGAGGATGGGGAGGAGGTGGACAGGAAGGAGGGGAGGAGGAGAGGGGAAGGGAAGAAGGAGGAGGAGGAAGAGAAGGAGGAGAGGGACAAGGAAGAAGTGGGGAGGAGGGGACGGGGAGGAGAAGTGGTTGTGGTCAGTTCCCAGGGCTATAAAATCCTGGCGATCAGCTGGTCAACCACGTGTGTGTGCTGGGAGCATGGCCTGGCACTGGGGGCTCCTGCTGGCTTGGGTCTGCCTGCTTCGAAGTGCGGTGGCTCTTCTAGAGGAAGGTGAGGAGCCAGGGGACCCTGGCTGGGGAGAGGGTCCCACACATCAGCCACTGTAGCCATCAAATCCCAGGTGCCACGGAGGGCAGCAGTCGCCTTTGCTTTAGGTACCATAAGAAAGAAAAAGATACTCTCCCTTTCAGATCAGAAACACAATCCATGGGTAAAGATTTTTTTTAAAAAAAATAAGCAAGTTCATCTAATAAAAGCATGAAAGACTAAGAATGTAAATTGAAAAATCCTAGTGACATGTTACTTGAAATCCATTCTCCCTTCATGCCGGGAGATTTTAAATGCCTCAGGCAGAGGTTTTGAAAATGAGACTAATTTTCATAAAGTCGATTTTATTCCTTTTCCAAAGCCTATAACAATTATGAAGCAAAAATATAAACATAGGAAGGGAATTTACTATAGATGCATCTGACATGTTTGATGATGACAGAGCATAGTTGCAAAAACAATTTCTTACGGAATGGCTGTGAAGAATGACCTTGCGTATATTTCTTTTCCGTTTTCTTCAGGACTTCTTTGCATTAAAAAAAAAATAACACTGCTTGCTAATACTTCCTTTTCAAAGAATGGAAAAGAAAAAGATACTCTGACCACTGCTTTCTTACCTGCTAGAATTATTTTATAGGTATTGAAAAAGAACACTTTACTTGGCCACAGGTGGTTTTGATTTTTAAATCAGACATCATGTTTGTAGATACATAAAAAAGAATATAGATCAGTGGGGGGAAAAGCTAATTAAGATGATCCTAAAGCTTCTCCACTGTCAGTCAATATCTGGTCTTCTGAATTATCGATGTTATATATTTCCACATAATATTTGTGTTATCCAGACCCCTAGTGATAAGGCATTTCTCTTAATAATGCATAAGTCATGGGCCCTGGGTTATCAGCCTGTATTTTAAATGATGTAGTGCGAGACTACTTTTGATCTGCAGAACTGTTCACTATCTTCCTCTCTCCCCCTTGCAAGTATCTGCTTCCTGGACTTACTGTCTTTTTTTTTTTTTTTTTTTTTTTTGAGACAGAATCTTGCTCTGTGAACTCGACTGGAGTGCAGTGGTGTGATCTCAGTTCACCACATCCTCCTCCTCCCAGGTTCAAGGGCTTCTCCTGCCTCAGCCTCCCGAGTAGCTGGGACTACAGGCACATGCCACCATGCCCGGCTAATTTTTATATTTTTAGTAGAGATGGGGTTTCACCATGTTGGTCAGGCTGGTCTTGAACTGCTGATCTCAGGAGATCCACCCGACTTGGCCTTCCAAAGTGCTGGGATTACAGGTGTGAGCCACCACGCCCAGCCTATTGTCTCTTAAGAGTTTCTTTTTAGCCACTGAGGAGCAAAGTGTATTTTTTATGCTAGTTGTATTCAATACAGTCAATAGCAACTGGGTCCCTACCGCAATCCAGCCTGCAGATAGTAAGATGCCATCACAAATAAGGGGGATGTGAAAACATACACATCTAGAGCTCAAAGTCTTGCTTGAAGCCATAAACTAAGCTTGCTTGAAACCCAGAGATGCTGGAGAGAAATCTGGACTCCTAACTTGCCAGGAGCAGAGTCTAGTGGGACAGAGGAGGTGAAGGGAGCCTCAGTTCTTGATGAATGGGGATGCAGGAGAGCTCTTGGCTATGGTTCCTACCCCTCCCCTTTGGAGAAGCATTGCATTTGAGTGGTTTAGAGGAAGGGACATGATAGGCTTGCTATGTGCACAGGCTCTAGTGGGAAGATTAGCGCATGATCTAGCGGGAAGACAGAAGACAAAAGAGACCGAGTGTGGCACCTGCTAAATCTACTATATGCCTGACCTGAAAAAGGAAATGTGGATGAATTGGCAAGACTTCACAAAGGACTTGGTTGAGTGATCTTGTTCCAGGGCTAGAAATTTGCCGTGTACAAAATGTCACGGCTATTCCAAGTCGATGGGTTGTCTAAGGGATTACATGGGAGTGGGGAGGAGTAGGAGGAGGGGGAGGAGCAGGAGGGAGAGGAAGAAGAAGGAGGGGGGGAGGAGGGGGAGAAAGAGGAGCTTCTTTTGAGCTACTGAGGAGCAAACTCCAAGTTTTTGATGCTGGTTGCAATAGCAACCGGGTCCCCACCGCAATCCGGCTTGCAGATAGTAAGATGTCGTCACAAATAAGGGGCATGTGAAAACTCATAGACATTTGGGCTCAAAGTCTTGCTTGAGGCCATAGATTAAGCTTGGTTGGAATCCAGAGGGGCCAGAGGGAAGTCTGGACTCCTAACTCGCCAGGGGCAGAGTCAAGTGGGACAGAGGAGGTGAAGGGAGCTTCAGTTCTTGATGAATAGGGATGAGGAGAGCTCTCGGCTATGGTTCCTCCTCATCCTCATCAGAGGAGCACTGCATTTTCATGTTTTAGAAGCAGTGACATGACAGGCTTGCTAGGTACGAGCATCTCCACTTAGGAGCATGTGATCTGCATGTGATCTGCACATCCGCCTCTTCCCACTAGTGCCTGACCTAGTGGGTTTTTTAAAACTCAGCTGGTGATTCTAATATGCAACAAAGCTTGTGAACCATTGCACTGGTCCATTATGACTGTTGCTTAAATAATACGTGCCTAAGGAAAACTTTTTTTTTTTTTTTTTTTTTTTGAGACAGAGTTTCACTCTTGTTACCCAGGCTGGAGTGCAATGGCGCAATCTCAGCTCACTGCAACCTCCGCCTCCTGGGTTCAGGCAATTCTCCTGCCTCAGCCTCCTGAGTAGCTGGAACTACAGGCACGCACCACCATGCCCAGCAAATTTTTTGTATTTTTAGTAGAGACGGGGTTTCACCATGTTGACCAGGATGGTCTCGATCTCTTCACCTCGTGATCCACCCAAAGTCCTGGGATTACAGACATGAGCCACCACGCCCAGCCCCAGGAAAACGTTTTAATTTCAAGACACAAAGGCGGCCAGGACAATTTAGCTGAAAAGTAAACTTGCTGAATGAAGAAACATGAGCAAATAGCAAAGTAGTCAGTAATGAATAAAACAGACACAACAAATTCAGAATTAAAATCATTGCTTTTGCAAAAATCTTTTTAAAAAAACAAAAAAGTCATTATTTTTTAAGCATAATATACAAATTTGATGAACTAGTTATGAACACAGATTATGTTGGGTTATAATGCTTTAATATGAGAGATATCTACAAATTAATTATAGTATGTGTAAGTTCTCTTAATCAACATGACATTTGCAAATTTATTTGTTAGTAAATTGTGCTTTTCTATCTTAGATTATTTTAATAGTTATTAAGCATCATATAGCATGAGCTATTTGAGAAAAATCAAATTTTTCACTCTATTTATTCTATATTCATTCTGTTATATTTCATCCTAAAGTTATGACTATTTTTCTTTTTTTGTCTTGTTTTCTTCTATCTCCTTGAATTAAGTTATGACTATTCTTAAAGACTCAATTAAATGAACTTTATAAAAGTTATTTAATATATTAACTAAAACACATGCTGGTTTTAAATCAAATAGCCTTTACATAAAGTCACTTCAGGAACCATGCAAAGTGGCCAAACAAAAAATTCAAGTTCTAAGGAGGGGGAGGTAAATATTACAGGTTTAATGGCTCGTGAAGGAACAACGGTTGAGAAAAGCTGCTTTAAGGGAAAAAAAAGTAAAGCTATCAGGCAGTTTCTTTCCCACGAACATTAGGATATTCAAACTGGGGAGGACTAGACATCCTAATGTTCTCTCCATTTTACAGCAGAGTAAACTGAAGACAGATTGTTGTAAGTGGTTGATTGAGCCTGTGCCCTGATTTGGGCCGTTACTTCCTACTGAACCAACCCCTCCAAGGGGGATTCAAATTGAATTACCATATGCTTAACCTTTTTTAACTTAACGGAACTTAACACTTCTGAACTTTGTCTCTAAGATGATAGAAACAGCCAGGCTCAGTGGTGCAAGCCTGTAATCCCAGAACTTCGGGAGGCCGAGGCAGGCAGATCACAAGGTCAAGAGATCGAGACCATCCGGGCCAACATGGTGAAACCCCGTCTCTACTAAAATACAAAAAATAGCTGGGCATGGTGGTGTGTGCCTGTAGTCCCAGCTACTTGGGAGGCTGAGGCTGGAGAATTGCTTGAACCTGGGAGGTGGAGGTTGCAGTGAGCCGAGATTACGCCACTGCAGGGATCTAGCCTGACCCCTAGCAACAGAACAAAACTGTCTCAAAAAAAAAAAAAAAAAAAAAAAAAAAAAAAAAAAAAAAAAGATGGAAATAATGCTTGCCTCACAAAATTGCTCTAATAAGTTAAATAAAATACAGTTTTCAGGATATATAAGATGCTTAGAGCATTTATTTGCACTTCCTACATACCTCAGAGGTATCATTCTTATTTTTCTCTCCTAGAGGAAGAGGTTTCCATTTTGAAAGTGATAACTCCAAAGACATGAATCTCTGATAGAATTCAGGTACTCAGTGAGAAGTGGCGACAAAAATAAAAACCCGTAGTGGTGACAAAAATAAAAAATAAAAACCTAAAATAAAAATCAGAAACCTATGATGAAGTGGTTTATTTTGTAAAAAATGTGAGAAAAGTAAATCATTTACTTTTGCCTGGCGAATTTTTTGTTTTAAAAATAATTTTAATTATTCCTATCCTTTAATAATATTTGGAAAATACAGTTAAAGCAAAAGGAAAATAAGAAATCACCCACAATCATGCTACCAAAAATAAGCTCTATTGAACTTTGATGCCTAACTTTTGAAATAGTATTATTCTTACTAGAATAGAAATTGGTGAAATCTCTTCATTTATTTTATCTTAAAGTAACATAAGTATTTGTTCAAAATTGTGTCTTTCAGAGGAAATACAAGCAACTGTGGGTGAGTTGATCAAAAAACTTTTATTAGGGTTTCTTTTGAATTTTTTGCAATAAAATGTGAAACCACTGAATATTTCCTTTCCTGGTAAGAAATCATATTTTTCATTAAAGATTACTATTTTATGTACACATATAAAGTAAATTTCATGTTTAAAATGTTAAGAAAAAGAAGAATAGATAAATCATAATTTTACTGTTAATTTTACTTTTGGGTGATTAAACATTTCATTACACATAACTTCATAATGTGATTTTTTTGCAAAAAAAATCAAATATGATGAAAATAAGAAATAGAAAATGCCTTTTGCCAACTAAAAATGAAGTACAAATTTTTCCATATTTATATGTTCATTTTTATTAATACCTACTTGATATTATAAAGCCAATTTCATTTTAAAATTCCCTCAGGGATTAATATTTTTGAATTAATTTTTATTTTTTAAACTAATACTAATCATGCTGAAACAAACATTCTTAATCTAAGTGTCATTCTAATTAAAACTAGGAAAGCACAGGAGTGTTACATTAACACTATTTTAGGTTCTAATATAAGTGATATCGTAAGAAGAAAAATGCATATAAAATAACAGGCAAACTTATTTTATGATTGTATACTTTAAATCCCTAAGAACATGAATAAAAATTATTAGCTTTAATAAAGTAATATAGCAATGTGGCTGGATACAAGATAAACATATAACAGTCAATAATTTTTCTCTATTTCTACTGGTAAGAACCAACTGGACATTGATGGAAATGGAAAACATTCTGTTTAATATCAATGACCAAAAAAAAAAAGCACTTTGGAATTAAATCCATGAGAAATGTATATGACTTATATAAAATAAGTAAGAAAATCATATTGAAGAGCAAAAAAATACATTTTGAAAAAGAGATAATGCCATGTTCTTGGATGGAAAACATGATGCCATGATAATATCACTTTTTCTCAACTAACATTTTTATTTAATTTCATTTTAAAGCCTAAGAATAGTGAAATAAATGTCAGCTCTAAATTTTATTTTTCAGAAACTATAACTCATTATCCAGAGGTTAAAGGTAAGTTTATCAGAAAACTTTTATTATTAATATATATTCTAATTATGTAAAAATGGGGAATCAGTAATTTTTTTCAGTAAAATATATATATATATATATAATTTTTTCTCCTTGTATAAAATGTAACCTAAGTGCCTTGTAAACAGATAAAGAAAAAGGAGATATAGAAGTCATCCTGAACTTTCATCAGCACTAAATGTGTCCACTCTTTAATTTCTGCCAATCTAATAGGAAATAATAGATTTTAAAATGTATATTAAAAACATCCAATAATAATTAGGAATATTATGAACAAAGTGCTGGAGTAGAGAAATATTTTGTTTCATCAGATATTTAGATATACTAAAATACTGTAATATAAACAACATGGAATCAGCCTATGAAGACAGAAGGAAGAGGAGGAGGAAGAGGGTAAAATGAAGAAAAAGAGGAAGACAAAGAAAGAGGAGGAGAAGGAGGAGGAGGAGGAGGAGGAGGAGGAGGAGGAGGAGGAGGAGGAGGAGGAGAGGAGAAGAAAGAAAGAAATATTTTGTGATGCTTGCTGGCTCCAGAGCCTGCTCATTTTACCACCATGCTTTCTTACATCTCTAATAATTTCAAGATACTTGATTGAAAATCTAGGATGGATCCCAGGATATATTAGAATAATCCATGGTTTTGAACATGACTGTTTAAATGGTACAGGTGGTTTATTTCATCATAGACCTGTCATTACTATTTGAAATAAAATTAAGTTGCATTTCCCTTTTGCATCATATATAAAACGAAATCCTTGCTTAATCGAATTTTAAATATCAGAGGAACAAAATTGTTTAAGAAGAAAATGGAAAAAATATATATTGCCTAAGGACCAGCAGATCTTTTAAAGCAAGGCAGGAATCATCTATAATACATGTGAACATTTTTAAAGTGTGTAAATGCTTCGTGCTGATGAAAATTCAGGTAAAGGAGCACAATTGGTGGGAAAGACTAATTGCCATTGTCCTTTGAGAAAGCAATACTCATCAATGTTAAAATTTTATGTACACTTTCTCCTTGTAACCTTGCTTTGGGGATTCTATAGAAACAAATACTTCAATACATAAGGATTTAAATATATGAAATGTTTACTACAGCTATATTTACAGTGGGAAAAATCTGAATGTGGGAAATATTGAATAAATTGTGGTGAATCCATATCACAGAACATGAATCGGCATTAGAAAGAAATTAAGGCTGGACTCAGTGGCTCATGCCTGTAATCCCAACATTTTTGGAAGCCAAGGGAGGAGAACAGTTGAGCTCAGGAGTCTGAGACCAGCCTGGGCCATGTAATAAGATCTCATCTTTACAAAAAAAATTTTAAAATTAGCTGGGCATAGTAGCACACACCTGTGGTCCCAGTTACTCAGGAAGTTGAGGTGGGAGGATCACTTGAGCCCAGGAGAATGAGGCTGCAGTGAGCCATAAAGAAGTCAGAGCTACACAATCACTTTAAGAGGATTTCTACAGTGTATTCAGTTGGAAACTCAAGTATAAAATGATTCATTTTGAAGGGCAGCAAAAGATCATGTATGGGTGCCTATATGTGTATATGCATATATAACCATGTATATCCTGTACACAACCATACAGCATATATACGAAATTATGTAACATACGTGCATATATATATATATATAACATACAACATATACATACATACATCCATGTTGTATGAGAGGGGGAGAGAAAGAGAGATGATGGAAGGAGGTGAAAATAAGAGAACCAGGGGCAGAGGAAAACAATTGTTTGGTAGATAAATACCCACATTTATGTTTCTATGCTTAGGAGAGATTTCTGAAACTGGGGCAAGCCAGGCGTGGTGGCTCACACCTATAATCCCAACACTTTGGGAGGCTGAGGCGGGCAGATCACCTGAGGTCAGGAGTTCAAGACCAGCCTGACCAACATGGAGAAACCTTGTCACTACTGAAAATACAAAAATTAGTCGGACGCAGTAGTGGGCGCCTGTAATCCCAGCTACTCAGGAGGCTGAGGCAGGAGAATCACTTGAAACTGTGAGGCGGAGTTTGCAGTGAGACGAGATTGTGCCATCACACTCCAGCCTGGGCAAAAAGAGCGAAACTGTGTCTCGAAGAAAGAAAGAAGGAAAGAAAGAAACTGGGGCAAATGCTATGAAAAATTTTGAGACTCTTTATGCGCTGGGAAAAAGCAGGGCAGGGGCAGGAGTATAAAATAAAAGACCTTTGTCATTAGAGGGCCAAAGCTCTGCTATTGAGTGGCACAATCACATTCACTACAGCCACAGGCAATGGGTAACAGACCCGAGGAAGGCAGTGGCTTGATTACCTCTCTTGATAACCTCTCTCCTAACACACCCAGAGACCGATGAAGAATTTTGTTTTCTCTAGATGGGGAGTGTGTCTTTCCATTCCACTATAAAAATGGAACACACTATGACTGCATCAAGGGCAAGGCAAAACACAAATGGTGCTCATTAAACGAGACTTATGAAGGATACTGGAAGTATTGCGGTAGAGAAGGTGAGTGTCCTGCCTTTACATACCTCAGAGCAGTCATCTCGGTCTCTGAGGAGAAATGCAAAAGGGTTCTGAAAATAGAATCCTTAGCCAATTAAATTGTGAAAATAAAGGATGTTCAATTTCTGAGGGTATAAAAATCACATTGCACCAAAGATATGTTATGAGCACTTCAACCGTATTATTTTGAAAAGAAAGTCTTTTTAGTAGAACATCAAAGTAATATGGGACCTGAATGCCCCACCAACATTGTTCCTTTGTGCCTTTGGTGGAATAGGGCAGAGCAGATGATACTGAGTGGGAAGCAAAAGTGTGTGTATGCATGTGCACATGTGTGCATATGTGTGTGTCTGTGTGAATGTGCATGTGTGCACATGTTTGTTCATGTGTGTGCATTCATGTGAATATACCTATGCATTTGTGCACGTGTGTGCATGTGTGTGCGTATGTGGGCATGGTGTGGTGGAGGGGGGTGTAAATTAGAAAGGTTTCTCTCTCCAGCTGCTTCTTCCTCTTTTTCCTCTGCAGATTTTGCAAGCTGTGTATTTCCCTTCTGGTACAGACGCTTGATCTACTGGGAGTGTACCGATGATGGGAGTGCATTTGGGAGAAAATGGTGTTCACTGACCCAGAATTATAACAGGGATCAAGTTTGGAAATACTGTTAATGATGGTGAGATTTACCAGGGGAGGGGGACGAGGACGTTTAATCATTCTCTTTGGTAAGAACTTACGGTTTTTGTTGGCAGAGGAGAATGCTTACTCATTAGAAAGGGTTTTTTTTTTTCTTTTTTTCTGAGATGTGAGTTGAAGGTGATCTAACTATAAATAACTAGAGGTTTTTGATTAAGGATTATGGGTTTTAATATGGCAATCTGTAATTTAGCCTCAGCACTTTAATCGCTAACTGTAAAATTGGTTCCTTTTAAAAATTAAGTCTATGGGATAGGCATGGTGGATTATGCCTATAATCCCAGTGCTTTAGGAGGTCAAAAAGGAAGGATTGCTTGAGGCCAGGAGTTCAAAACCAGCCTGGACAACATAGCAAGATCCTGTTTCTAAAAAAAAAAAAAAAAAAAATTTAATTACCTAGGCATGGTGGCACACACTTGTAGTCTCAGCTACTCAGGAAGTTGAGGCAGAAGGATCACCTGAGTTCAAGCGTTCAAGGTTGTAGTGAGCTGTGAGGAAATGGAGACCCAACTCTAAAATAAAATAAATGAAGTAAAATAAGTGTATGGACTTCAGAAGATAGTGATGTGTCAGTGTAGATTCATCCGTTGTAACAAATGTTCCACTCTGGTGGAGGATATTGATAATGGGGTGGCTATGTGTACATGGGAAATTTTTGTATCTACGACTTAATTTTTCTGTGACTTAAAACTGCTCTAAGGCTGGGCACGGTGGCTCACACCTGTAATCCTAGCACTTTGGGAGGCCAAGGTGGGTGGATCACCTGAGGTCAGGAGTTCAAGATCAGCCTGGCCATGATGGTGAAACCCCATCTTTAAATAAAATAAAATAATTTTTTTAAAAACTGCTCTAAAAAATAAATTGCATTGGCCGGGCGCAGTGGCTCATGCCTGTAATCCCAGCACTTTGGGAGGCCAAGGAGGGCAAATCACAAGGTCAGGAGATCGAGACCATCCTGGCCAATATGGTGAAACCCCATCTCTACTACAAATACAAAATAAAAAATAATTGGCTGAGCATGGTTGCACATGCCTGTAATCCCAGCTACTCAGGAGGCTGAGGCAGAAAAATCACTTGAACCAGGGAGTCGGAGGCTGCAGTGAGCCGAGATTGCACCACTGCACTCCAGCCAGGTGACACAGTAAGACTCCATCTCAAAAAAAAAAAAATAATAATGTGTATTTTAAAATGCATTGCCTTGGCAGGGCGCGGTGGCTCAAGCCTGTAATCCCAGCACTTTGGGAGGCCGAGGCGGGTGGATCACGAGGTCAAGAGATCGAGACCATCCTGGTCAACATGGTGAAACCCCGTCTCTACTAAAAATACAAAAAATTAGCCGGGCATTGTGGCACGTGCCTGTAATCCCAGCTACTCAGGAGGCTGAGGCAGGAGAATTGCCTGAACCCAGGAGGCGGAGGTTGCGGTGAGCCGAGATCGCGCCATTGCACTCCAGCCTGGGTAACAAGAGCGAAACTCCATCTCAAAATAAATAAATAAATAAATAAATAAATAAATAAAATAAAATAAAATGCATTGCCTTAATGAAGAGTATGTTTTTTTTTAAAAAGTGATAACTGAGGTGGTACCTGAGGTAGGAATACAGGTGTGGAGGTAAAGTATCAGAGTGAAGTTTAAAAAGGCTCAGATATGAAACACATGAATGAAGGCAACAAAGCTGGGTGCATTTTACAAGGTGAGGGAGAGCCACTGGGGCAGGTCCGTGGTGAGTATCCCGAGAGCCAGGCGATGGGCATGCCAGCACTTGAGAGCTGGCCAAGTCAAAGGGGAGCCACAGAGCAGCGTTTGGTAAGCAGAATCCGGACAGAATCCAATTTGATGATAGAGGCCAGGAACAGTGGCTGACGCCTGTAATCCCAGCACTTTGGGAGGCAGAGGCAGGAGGATCCCTTGAACCCAGCCTGGGCTACCTAGCAAGACTTCATCTCTACAAATAACTTTAAAAATTAGGCAGGCATAGCAGCACATGCCTGTGGTCTCAGCCCCTAAGGAGGCTGAGGTAGGAGGATCACTTGAGCCCAGGGATTTGAGGCTGCAGCGATCAGTGATTTCGTCCCTACACTCCAGCCTGGGCCGCAGAGCGAAACTGTTTCTTAGAAATTAACATTAAAAATTAAATTAAGACGAAAATGTAATTATAAGGCAAATTGCTTTGGCTCTGGGCGGACAATGGAAAGATGAAATGGCCATGGACTGAATGTGGTACCCCGCTTGAACTCGGGAGGCAGTGGTTGCGGTAAGCCGAGATCACTCCACTGTACTACAGCCTGGGTGGCAGAGCGAGACTCCATTTAAAAAAAGAAAAACGAAAGGGAAGGAAAGAGAGAGAACGCGGCTGTGGAGGTACCCAACCTATGGGAGCTGAGGGAATGAATACTTCAAACTTCTTCCCTGTCACCTCCTGCCAGGGCTTCCCACTGGCCAAGCCCAAGGAGAAAGCAAAGGGAAAGGAGCTCAAAGATGAATGAGGGGAGGAGAGTGAGCCGGCAGGTGCATGCAGGTGGCACTCAGCATGGCTGGGAACATGAGTTTCAATCCCACCAAACTAAATTTTGAGATTCCCACCACAGCATATAGCTGCTCAAGGGGCCACACTGAGAAGGGCAATGCTTGTTTGGATTTATTCCCAGGTGGGTGTGTTGGTGGGTGTGGAAGAAGAACCGAAGGCTGAGGCTAGAGTATGTACAAAAGAAAGAATCATGAGGATAAACAAGGAGCCTGAAGTGAATAAACGGCAAAGTAAAGATGGCGGTGAAGAAAAGGAGAAGGAAGTACAGGCCCAAAACACCGGAAGTCCCAACTGATACTGACTTCCTGCTGCGTCAGAGCAGTGGCGGGCACACTAACAAGATGGCGCCTTCCTGCATGCACTTGGCTCACTTATTTCTCTTGTAATATCCAATAAAGAGTCTCCAGGCAAACGTGGTCTTTCTTTTTTGGCTGAATTGAAGGGTCCTGTCAACAATCACCTCTTGTAGCAACCAGCAACTCCCCAATGTTGAACCAGAGTCTCAGCCAGCTTCCCCTTTCTCTTCACCGCAAAATATCTGCAGAATGAAATGGTGCTTGACTTTTTATCGTGGTTGTGAAACAGATGACAGGCAAGGTTATGAATGAAAAGTGTGTGTGTGTGTGCGCGCGCGCACATGTGGATTCCCGTGGAGGAGGAAGGACCACAGAGATGGATGAGTTGGCCTAAAATGAATTGAGTGTGCTGGTGAGGGATGAGATGGCACCAATAAAATGACAGGAGACTGCTCCCTGGAAATGAGTAAAATACTCCAAAAAAAAAAAATTTTTTTTTTTTTTTTTTTTTGAGACGGAGTTTCGCTCTTGTTGCCCAGGCTGGAGTGCAATGGCGCGATCTCGGCTCACCGCAACCTCCGCCTCCTGGGTTCAAGCAATTCTCCTGCCTCAGCCTCCTGAGTAGCTGGGATTACAGGCACGTGCCACCATGCCCAGCTAATTTTCTGTATTTTTAGTAGAGACGGGGTTTCCCCATGTTGGCCAGAATGGTCTCGATCTCTTGACCTCATGATCCACCCGCCTCGGCCTCCCAAAGTGCTGGGATTACAGGCGTGAGCCACCGCGCCTGGCCCACTCCAAAATTTTTAAGAAAAACACAGAATCATGTAAAAACTACTGATCTGGTATGTTACTGCCTACATTATACAAAGACTTATTTACCAAATCTGGATATGTCTATTATATATCGGGGGGGGATGTGTGTACATACACATACACACACACATGCATATATAGGAAGGAAGTAAAAGTAAAACTGGGAAATTTTTAAATTTTTTAAAACTTTAATTAAAAAGAAATATTCTGGCCGGGCGCAGTGGCTCAAGCCTGTAATCCCAGCACTTTGGGAGGCCGAGGTGGGTGGATCACGAGGTCAAGAGATCGAGACCATCCTGGTCAACATGGTGAAACCCCGTCTCTACTAAAAATACAAAAAATTAGCTGGGCATGGTGGCACATGCCTGTAATCCCAGCTACTCAGGAGGCTGAGGCAGGAGAATTGCCTGAACCCAGGGGGCAGAGGTTGCGGTGAGCTGAGATCACGCCATTGCACTCCAGCCTGGGTAACAAGAGCGAAACTCTGTCTCAAAAAAAAAAAAAAAAGAAATATTCTGCTATTTCAATATATTAAAATAAACACTCTCCATCTCAGCTTCAATATTCTAATTCTGCACATCGGAGGTAACCATGGTGAGGAACTTTCTATTTTCAATTTCTATTTAAAATCCAGTTCTACATAACTAGCCTAAAGATTACAGTAGGCCAGGCACAGTGGCTCACGCCTGTAATCCCAGCACTTTGGGAGGCCGAGGCAGGCAGATCACGAGGTCACGAGTTTGAGACCAACCTGGCCAACATGGTGAAACCCCATCTCTGCTAAAAATACAAAAAATTAGCAGGGTGTGGTGGTGCACACCTGTAACCCCAGCTACTCAGGAGGCTGAGGCAGGAGAATTGCTTGAACCCAGGAGGTGGAGGTTGCAGGGAGCTGAGATCAAACCATTGCACTCCAGCCTGGGAGACAAAGCGAGACTCCGTGTCAAAAAGAAAAGAAAAGAATACAGTAAGAGATTTGATTCAAGTAAGTATATCAAGGTTATCAAGGTTATAGGCAAACTAACGCAGGAACAGAAAACCAAATGCTGCATGCTTTCACTTATAAGTGGGAGCCGAACATGGAGAACGAACACATGGAGACAGAGAAAACAGACACCAGGGCCCACTTGATGGTGGAGAGAGGGAGAAGGGAGAGGATCAAAAAATTACCTGTAAAGCCCTACGTTTATTACATGGGTGATGAAATAACCTGTGCACCGAAGCCCTATGACACCCAATTTACCTATATAATAAACCCAATAAATGTGCACAGGTAGCCTGAACCTAAAATGAAAGTTTTCAAATATATGTACATATATATCAAGGTTAGCATGGG